GACCAAATGTTTTTACAACCATCGCAATTCATGATCCTCTCTTAAGCTTTCCTGATGCCATTTTGTATTCGGGGGCGGGGTTTGGATTGTTTTAAAGATGCAAAACGATATTTTGTTATATAAATAATATGATATTCATGAAAGTTTCTGTTCTCTGATTATGGTTCTCTAGACAAATGGAGTCTGAAATGGTGTATTTGGTGTCACCAACCTAAAAGGACAACAGAAAACTGGTCAAAATTATACTTGGGGGCCCAAAGCAATGACACACTGACACTTGGGGGTCCCAGAACAATGACACACTGACACTTGGGGGTCCAGAACAATGACACACTGACACTTGGGGGGCCCAGAAAAATGACACACTGACACTTGGGGGTCCAGAACAATGACACACTGACAGATGGGGGTCCCAGAACAATGACACACTGACACTTGGGGTCCAGAACAATGACACACTGACACTTGGGGGGACCAGAACAATGACACACTTGATTAGTAAGTTTGTAGCATTTCCTTATTCTCGCGGTGACATCACAGAGGACAGAAGAGATTATGGGATCTATTCATAAACAATTCGCAGGTTCCATTTGTCTTCTGATCATCTGTGAACATTTGCTTTATGCATATACAGTATAAGTCACAATTAATGTTCTATGCTCCTCTCTGCCCTCTAGTGGTTATAACTCAGTATTACATCAAATAACTATGGAAATACATTGCCTTGTAAAGAAACTATTAGAGAACTTTAATTTTGGCTTATAGCTGCACAGATATTCGTAGGACCCTGCTAGTATCTATAAATAGACCCCTGTGCATCTAGAATCCACACGCCACTGAGGTGTCACTGCCGTAATAAAGAGGTACCAGCCCAGCTCTAATCTGTGCCAGCATTCATAGACCTGGGGGGCACCATTTTAGATTCTTCGGAGGTCCAGTGGTCCCAGCACAGTGTAGCCTATTGCTACAAGTACAACAAAAGAGACAACAAGACAAAACGATGTCATGAGATTTTATTAGGTGTAAAAACAAAGTAACACAAAAACAAAATATAATAAAACATCTTCACAGCATAGGCACACACCAAGCACACGTCAATCACACACCAAGCACAAGCCAAGCACACAGTAAGCACGCACCAAGCACACAAAGCACACACCAAGCGCGCACCAAGCACGCACCATGCAACGGTCAACTGTCATACAATGTACAATAAGGGTAACCCTAACCCTAAGTCAGAGACAAACTTTATTCACATCATGTCCTGAATACAATGTAACAAATCTTAGGCGAGGTATAAAAAATAAGTATAAATACTGTGTACTGGGGATGAGTGGAATCGGCAGTTTTCCCTTTTCAAATATCAGCAAAAAAATTAATTTTCCTCACCGCTTACGTCTAAAAGATACACCGAGGGTCCTTTTATAAACAATTGGCAGAGACGTTCGCCCTGTGGATCTCTGTGAACATTCGTTCTGTGCGAATGGAGACACAAACAATCATACTTTGTATAGTTTCTTTTCAGGTCAAATTGAATGGAATGGAATGTAATACTGGTTGTGGCCACTGGGTGGAGCTGAAGATCATAGGATATCAATACTGATCTCTTATGCTCTTCAGCTCCATCTGGTGGCCACATTGCAGTATTACATTACATTACATTTGATCTAAAAACTTTTGTTTTTGTCTCTCTTCCCACTAATTGAACATTCACTGAGCTTCACGGGGTGAATGGCTCATAAAATAGTTTATAAAATAGACCCCATAGTGATGTATTAATAATAATGAATCTGTATCTAAGGGTTAGAAAAGCTCCTTTCCCTGGCCAACTGTGTCTCATGATCTACATCCAGGATACAGTCCATTCTTCTGTTCATGATCTACATCCAGGATACAGTCCATTCTTCTGTTCATGATCTACATACAACCCCGGCCTCAGCCGGCCTTCTGTGGCTATGGCCACACTAGGCTTGCAGGTGTGATGCTATGGCTAACCAGCTGGCTGGGGTCAGAGGGGGTAAGCACAAGCAATGGTGGACTAGGGACCTTTGACCTGGGGGTCAACACAGCCAACTAGCCCTTTAATGCTACATATGGTTCCTCTGGGCTAAGGGAAGTGTGTCATGCAAAGGGAGCCAAGGTTCCTCATTGAACGGTCAGCCTGGTGCAAGTTGGGTGTGAGGTAATGATTTCCTGGCACTGTTACACATACACATTACTTAGCGTGTGTGAACAATATATCTGGTGACAGGTCCACTTTAAGGGTGGGGAGGAGTTTGTCTGTCTTCAGTAGGAGATTAAGGGACTCCATATAGATTCCCGAAGATGGGAAGATGTTCTCTTAAAGGGCTCTGTTTTAGGTTTTGGATAGAGTGGGGGAGGGTGACCCTCTGTCAAGTTTTCCTTTTGTTTGGTGGGACCCTCTGCCAAGTTTACATTTTGGTTGGTGCCCATGCTGGTGAAAGCCACCCCTCTATCTGTCCTGGTGACCATTGAGACCAAAAATATGGGGAAATCCCTAAGTTGTCATGAGAGTAAGAGGTGACGGGAAAGCTTACAATGGGGACAACTGTCTAAGATGGGAATTCACACACTACGGGAGATTTTATCTTACTTCCTGTTGCATTTCCAAGACAGGAAGTGAAGGGAAATCTCAGCAACAGGACACAGTCAGCATGAAACCCTACTTTATCCAAAACTAATTAAAAAACCTTATTTTCCATGCCTATACTTTACTGCATGGAAGTACGGAGACACATCCAATAGAACCTCGAGTTTCCTTGGTTTCACCAAATGATAATTTTCAGTCCTGGACGGGAATTTCCAAAATCTCTTAAACGCTCTTTGGATTCGGCAGAAAAGTTTTCAATCTCGAGTCTGGAAGGAAGATAAAGAAGGTGTTAGGAGTTTATACTCGGGAACATATTGATGAAAGATGGCCAGCCTGGGCTATCCTGAGCGTCAATTTTACCCAAATTTGGAGATCCTTCAATGGCATTCGCTCTGTAGTCATGACATGGATCCATAGCGGATGGCCAAAGGGGCATGGGGACCTCCCAAACTAGGAAACAAACTCACTTGCAGGACATCAAAATTGCATTAAATGTAAATGGAGACTAACGAGAGGGATCAGACGCAGCGGAAACTCTATAGGAACCAATGGAGAATGCTAAAATTTAACAGTGGAGGTAATTTACAGAACAAGACTTGTGGGGCGGGGCTATTTATAAACATTGCCCAGAGTCATTTGCCATGCGAATCTTCGTTCTGTGTGAATATAGAAAAAAATGAACCTTCCTCAGGTCTAATGTAATGTAATAGCACATTGTGGCCACTAGATGGAGCAGATGAGCATAGGAAATAAAGAAAGGAGTTGAGAGTCCTCACTGGGTAGAATGTTGGACAACTGACTATGTTACACCAAGATACAAGACGCCATTTTCCTACAGCGGCTGACACGGCCTATAGCACGCACCTGATCTCCTGCAGGCTGGACGATGTTCGTATCAGCTCCACGATGTACCCGGCACTTCGGTCAGAAATGGCATTGCTGCTAAATTCTAGATACTTGAGGTTCCTGTTCTGGCTGAGCCGAGTGAATACCGGCATTTGTTCATCGATCAGATTGATGCCGCACAGCCTACGAAAAAGCAGAAACATCATATTTTATATACCTTAGGGGTTCCCACCATCCCTGTGCTGAGTTCCTGGGTCTGTACACCCGCTGTGCCCATTATGAGGAGCTCCCACCATCCCTGAGCTGAGTTCCCGGGTCTCTACACCCGCTGTGCCCATTATGAGGAGCTCCCACCATCCCTGAGCTGAGTTCCCGGGTCTCTACACCCGCTGTGCCCATTATGAGGAGCTCCCACCATCCCTGAGCTGAGTTCCCGGGTCTCTACACCCGCTGTGCCCATTATGAGGAGCTCCCACCATCCCTGAGCTGAGTTCCCGGGTCTCTACACCCGCTGTGCCCATTATGAGGAGCTCCCACCATCCCTGAGCTGAGTTCCCGGGTCTCTACACCCGCTGTGCCCATTATGAGGAGCTCCCACCATCCCTGAGCTGAGTTCCCGGGTCTCTACACCCGCTGTGCCCATTATGAGGAGCTCCCACCATCCCTGAGCTGAGTTCCCGGGTCTCTACACCCGCTGTGCCCATTATGAGGAGCTCCCACCATCCCTGAGCTGAGTTCCCGGGTCTCTACACCCGCTGTGCCCATTATGAGGAGCTCCCACCATCCCTGAGCTGAGTTCCCGGGTCTCTACACCCGCTGTGCCCATTATGAGGAGCTCCCACCATCCCTGAGCTGAGTTCCCGGGTCTCTACACCCGCTGTGCCCATTATGAGGAGCTCCCACCATCCCTGAGCTGAGTTCCCGGGTCTCTACACCCGCTGTGCCCATTATGAGGAGCTCCCACCATCCCTGAGCTGAGTTCCCGGGTCTCTACACCCGCTGTGCCCATTATGAGGAGCTCCCACCATCCCTGAGCTGAGTTCCCGGGTCTCTACACCCGCTGTGCCCATTATGAGGAGCTCCCACCATCCCTGAGCTGAGTTCCCGGGTCTCTACACCCGCTGTGCCCATTATGAGGAGCTCCCACCATCCCTGAGCTGAGTTCCCGGGTCTCTACACCCGCTGTGCCCATTATGAGGAGCTCCCACCATCCCTGAGCTGAGTTCCCGGGTCTCTACACCCGCTGTGCCCATTATGAGGAGCTCCCACCATCCCTGAGCTGAGTTCCCGGGTCTCTACACCCGCTGTGCCCATTATGAGGAGCTCCCACCATCCCTGAGCTGAGTTCCCGGGTCTCTACACCCGCTGTGCCCATTATGAGGAGCTCCCACCATCCCTGAGCTGAGTTCCCGGGTCTCTACACCCGCTGTGCCCATTATGAGGAGCTCCCACCATCCCTGAGCTGAGTTCCCGGGTCTCTACACCCGCTGTGCCCATTATGAGGAGCTCCCACCATCCCTGAGCTGAGTTCCCGGGTCTCTACACCCGCTGTGCCCATTATGAGGAGCTCCCACCATCCCTGAGCTGAGTTCCCGGGTCTCTACACCCGCTGTGCCCATTATGAGGAGCTCCCACCATCCCTGAGCTGAGTTCCCGGGTCTCTACACCCGCTGTGCCCATTATGAGGAGCTCCCACCATCCCTGAGCTGAGTTCCCGGGTCTCTACACCCGCTGTGCCCATTATGAGGAGCTCCCACCATCCCTGAGCTGAGTTCCCGGGTCTCTACACCCGCTGTGCCCATTATGAGGAGCTCCCACCATCCCTGAGCTGAGTTCCCGGGTCTCTACACCCGCTGTGCCCATTATGAGGAGCTCCCACCATCCCTGAGCTGAGTTCCCGGGTCTCTACACCCGCTGTGCCCATTATGAGGAGCTCCCACCATCCCTGAGCTGAGTTCCCGGGTCTCTACACCCGCTGTGCCCATTATGAGGAGCTCCCACCATCCCTGAGCTGAGTTCCCGGGTCTCTACACCCGCTGTGCCCATTATGAGGAGCTCCCACCATCCCTGAGCTGAGTTCCCGGGTCTCTACACCCGCTGTGCCCATTATGAGGAGCTCCCACCATCCCTGAGCTGAGTTCCCGGGTCTCTACACCCGCTGTGCCCATTATGAGGAGCTCCCACCATCCCTGAGCTGAGTTCCCGGGTCTCTACACCCGCTGTGCCCATTATGAGGAGCTCCCACCATCCCTGTGCTGAGTTCCCGGGTTCTGTACACCACTACTCAGGAAGTGAGAGCGCTATTGATGACTAGAGTGGTGTCCGGGGGGGACGTGCTGGACGTCTGGAGAGTCAGTCCGCTGCATTGTGTGTGATAGGAACGGTCCGGCTCTCCTACGTGCTGCCACCACAGAGTATTTTCGCCGTTGCTGCAGCACATAGCAGTTAAAAAAAGTCAAAGAGAACCATATACAGCTCTTGTTTCAGCCGAATTACAGGAACAAATCAGGAGGGTCCAGTTGGGCTTCAAGGAAGGATTTGCCGCTTTCCACTATGTTCCCCCCTCCCCCTACCCGTGCACTCACGTTATTCCCTCTACCCTGCACGTAGGACTGGACAGAGCTGCCACGAGGTCACCGAAGTGATCACCATCCAGTTTGTTTTCGGACACATCAAGTCTTCTCAGTGATTGGTTGTCACTTATTCCAGATGCCAACTGGGTGAGCGACCTATCGGAAAGTCTTGTGTATCTCAAACTGTAAAAGGAAAGGAAACCAGGAGGACAGTAAATATAATAGACCTAAAGGGACCAGACAAGAGAAGTCCATCTTTGGGGGTTACAGACCCTTTAAGGACTTTTTAGTGCAGACTCATTATACTCACAGCAATTCTTCCATCTTGCACGAAGAACTGGACAGAGCCGCCACCACATCGGCAAATTCGGGACCTTCGAGATCGTTGTAGGACAAATCCAACTTCCGTAGGGCCTGGTTATCGTTTATTACAGATGCCAGCTGGGGGCAGGAACTGTTTCTCAGACCCGTGCCCCTCAAACTGCAATAGAGAGGAACAATTAACCCGATGTGCTTGTTAAGAACTCAGCTAGAGTTATGGCTTGGTGCTGGTTTGGTGAACCGCCAACTGGTCCTGTTTGTCTCAAGGACTCCAGTAAAGAAGCCACCTGACCAACGTTCATATTTTAGCATTGTATGGGATGTAAAGTGCATGAAAGCTTCAAGTGGTGCAATGGGGCCACCTACAATCCATGGCAGAAGGTATGTGGACACCTTCCAACTTCTCTGAGTTCATGGCCACATAGCCAGCTCCAGAAAGACATGGTGTGACCAGTTTGGTGTGGAAGAACTCGAGTGGCCTACACAGAGCCCTGACCTCAACCCTACTGAACACATTTAGATGAAGTGTAACAAGAGTATGAGCAAGGTGTCGAGTGGCCTACACAGAGCCCGGACCTGAACTCTACTGAACACCTTTGGGATGAATTGGAACCAGATAGAGGTCCTCTTGTCCAACATGGTGTAACCAGTTTGGTGTGGTACAATTTGAGTGTCCTACACAGAGCCCTGACCTCAACCCTACTGAACACCTTTGGGATGAATTGGAACCAGATTGTGAGCCTGGTCTTCTTGTCCAACATGGTTTGACTAGATTGGTGTGGAAGTACTTGAGTGTCCTGCACAGAGTTCTGACCTCAATCCTACTGAACACCTTTGGGATGAAATGGAACCAGACTATGAGCTACGTTTTCTCACCCAACATGGCTTCATGAGTTTTGTGTGGGGAGCTTGAGTGGCCAACACAGAGCCCAGACCTCAACCCTACTGAGCACCTGTGGGAGGAACTGGAACCAGATTGTGAGCCAGGTCCTCTTGTCCAACATGGTTTGACCACTTTGCTGTGGAGGAATTTGAGTGTCCTGCACAGAGCCCTGACCTCAACCCTACAGAACACCTTTGGGATGGGTTGGAATGCCAACTGCTAGCCTGGTCTTCTCATCCAACGTCACTATCTGAACTCACAAATGTTCATTTGGTTGGATGGGTACAAATTCCAACAAAATCTTGTGGAAAGCCTTCTTTCCACCAGGAGGCTTCAAAGAGGAGTGGAGGCTTTGAAGAGGTGGACACCTTCTTGGTAATGCTCATGGTTCTGAGATGGGATGTCTAACAAGCTCGTATAGCTGTGATGGTCAAGTGTCCACCACATTTGGCCATATAGTCTATCCAGGGCCGGCCTTAGGGGTGTGCGAGCCGTGCGGCCGCACAGGGCGCCATGGCAACAAGGGCGCCGTGCGGCCGTCACAGCTCGTCCTGTGGGCGGCTTCTCTCCCCCTCACCGCTGGCCATCCGATAATTCTCGCACAGGGCACCTAAAGGCCTAAGGCCGGCCCTGAGTCTATCTATCTATCTATCTATCTATCTATCTATTTGTTTGTGTCTACTTACAATAGGCCAAGGTCTCAACACCGAAAACAATGACTACAATTGATTTAGAGAAGATGATAAAATATGCAACAAAAAAGCCTTCAAGCCAAGGCCCTCAAGGACATACGAGGAGGCTCTGTGACGGATCTTTATTGCAAATGTGAATCTTTTATATTTACCTCAGTTCCTCTATCTGGCAACGTGGACTGGACAGACTTGTGATCAAGTTGTGGAACTCATCACCAACAAGACAGTTGGAAGACAGGTCGAGTGCCCTCAGGGTCCGGTTGCTTGCGATTCCAGACGCCAGCTGGGAACAAGAGCCGCTCGTGAGGGCATTGTCACTCAAACTGCAACATCAAGGCAAAATAGATGGTTGGATGGAGTGGTGGCAAGACTTCAAATATTTGGTTGAGGAACAAAACATCATACATTAGGTCTCATTGGTCCTAACGAAGGCAAAAGTCAACCCTGGCCAAGTGCTGCCCATTGTGCCTGACACGGGAAAGAAAAGGCTCCATCCAAAAGAATTAACTCCCAAACACCAAATGCTAAGCCAAGCAAATGGCAACAATGTAGGTCCACATGGGGGCTTCATGTGCCAGTTGGAGGACTGTCAGGATACCGTGCACAGGTGCCCCACACCGCATGCAGGTATCTATACGGGAGGACCAAATACTCGACCACACCACACAAGGCTATGGCCAACATCCCCACCAATGCCCACCAGCAACATAAATTAGCCAAACTAATGGTAAACAGAATAACACATCAGGGCAAGTCAACCAGGGCAGAGCAGGGCCACAGGAGGGGAGCCACAGATCAAGAAAACCCCAGGGGGGAAAGGGGTCAGGAGTCAGAGTCCAAAGAGGCAACAGGCTACAGGACTCAGGTTAGGGCGACTTCCGGGAGGGATTAAATACTCTCCCAGGTAACACCATGCGGTGCTTAATTGCAGAGACACCTGCAGGTGAGCACGGGAACTGCGGGATCTGCTCCAGCTCCACGTTGCCACCTGGAGGTGTCCTGGTACCTGACAAGGACATTCCATGGTCTACCCAGGGTCAAACCTAGAAGACTTTCCAATGCCCTGTCCATCTACGTGGGTTATCTCAGGCTGTGGTAGACATTGGACGGTCGTATCTACAGTAGAGGAAGAGAGACTTCATGGCGGCATGCTTACAGCCCGGAAATGTGGTGGGAAGGTCTTAAAAAAAGTGGATTCCCCAGGTCTTGGAGGTACAAAAAGCCAATGAGCTTCAAGCAAGCACTTCAAATGTTAGTTGTGGTCACCCTGAGCATGCGTCACAGGATAGGATGCATTCATGGTGTGGAAAGGAAGTCCAGTCATGCATCTGTACCCGCTATAAACTGCTGGGTGAGGTAAGAAGTCCTCTAAATGAAGGGGGTGAGGTGCTTGCCCAAGGCAGGGTGAGAAGTTGTGCTGAGGGCGGCAAAAATTTGCAGCAAAAAAGACAACACGTACTTGAGTCTCTGGATCCGGCACTGGCCGTGGCTTAAAAAAAAAAAAAAAGTGTACAGCGAATCATTTTCGCGCACGTACTGAAAAGCTTTTATTCCCAGTTCAGCGTCCTCGAAGAAAGATTCAAAATACATCTGTTTTTCTTTGGCGGAGAACCCCATGATCTCAACGATTCGCTGAAACACATGGGTGGCGATTAAGGACAGCTTGGTCGGTCGACTGGTCATCAGCACGGAGCAACCTTCGAGAAGGCTCTTCTTCAGTAGGCCAACCACAATCCCACCGACACAATCCTTCCGTTTAGCATCGGCACACATTCTGCTCGAGTTGAAGTCCACGTGGTGGGTGCTTTCATCCAACCCATCAAAAATGAAGAGCAGCTTTTCCGGGTCTTGCAAGATGTCATCCAGGTGACCCCGCAGATATGGGTACTGGTCAAGGATCATGTCTTCCAAGCTGACTTCGGTCTTGAGCCTATTGAGTTTCCGGAATTTGAAATAGAAGACGAAGGAAAACCTCTGGTAATGCTTTTGATTCACCCAGTCGTAGACAAATTTCTGCATGAGGGTGGACTTCCCAATGCCCGCCGCTCCACTCGCTATTACTACGCGCGGCAGACATTTTAACCGGTGGCACCAGTGAAACAGTCTGTTCAGAGCCATGTTTTGGAGGCCGCGCCTTGTTTTCTGCAAACAACCCTCGAACATTTCTCCCGCTTTGGTTAGCTCGTCCTGAGACAGCTGTCTAAAATGACCCGTGGAGACCGCCACTAAGTTGACATAGCGGTTTGATAAATAGAAGCCTTTTCGACCATGGGTGGTGCGTGGTGGTCTGTTCTCTATGAGGTTCTGAGTTTCCTGCTGGAGATGTTCCCTGTGCTGTTTCTGGATCTCTGAGAAAGAAGCATGGAATCAATAGAATTCTAAAAGCAACATTGTGGGCAAACAAAGTAACACAGCGCACCACTAAGACTACACTATATAGCCAAAGGGGTGTGGACACCTGACCATACTTATATCAGCTTGTTGAACCTCCCATTCCCAAACCATAACCATGGCCATTATTATGTAGGTGTAAGGGTAAAATGGCACAAAAGCCTAATCTCGGGAAACACGCCATAGAGAGCACGTGCACCGCAAACGGAGGTGTGCGGGAAGTGATGCTGTTACCTCAATTAGGTGACTATATAAGAACGGACCTACCTGCACCACATTGCTGATGGTCTTGTCGGCGTGTGTTGCCTGTGTCTCGGTTGGATTGCCTATGCCCTGTTTGACCCGGATTGCCTTGGACTACCTTTCTGCTTGCTGCCTGCCCCTGACCTCGGCCTGTTCAGTTTTAGGACACGAGCCACAAGAGACACCTCCTCATCTTCCGATCTCGTCCTCAGGTACGTGACTCCCCCACTTTGTGACTATATCAGCATCCAATCTTCTGGGAAGGCTTTTCACAATATTTTAGAGGGCGTCTGTGGGAATTTGTGCCCATTCAACCAAAATAGTATTGGTGAGGTGCACTACTGATGGCGAATGGGAGGACCCGGTTGTGAATCGGCACTCCGTTTTTCTGTGTAGGCCACTGGAGTTTCTCCACACCCAACGGGCCAAACCATGATTCCTCAGTAATAGGATGGGAACTTACCTTGCAGCTCTGAAGTCATTTCAGGTCCAAATTTGTCAAGCAGAATATTTTCCACTAGAGAGTTACCTAAAAAAGAAATAAGGTTCATCTATTGAAGCTTCATCACCATTAACTGTCCATGCCAAATCATTTCCTTTCAACCATTTGCCACGTTCTACTTTATCTATTGATCACTTGACATCAATATACACATATTTTATTTTGCCGTATGTCACCAAGCAATATCTAAGTAAACCAGTGACGTGCCGTACCTTCTGTGTTGGGTGAGGTATCCCCCAGCCCGCCCCGTCCCACCGAAGCCCCACCTCCATCCAGCCAAAAGCCCCACCCCCAGCTCGGTAACCAAGCTGTGTGGGGAGGAGACAGGGAGGAGCCTCCCTGTCGCTCACTTGCTCGTCACTGCTGAGGCATCGAGATCGATCGGCCTCAGTGTTTTTTTTCTCCCTTTTTTTGATTGGACAGCTTGGACCAACACAATATAGTACCCATTCTTTTGGTAACATATAAAAGATGAGGTCGTGCAAAAGTAAAACGAATACATTTTGGCTTTTTGGAAAAGCCAAAATGTATTCTGGAATGAGTCATACCTGTGTGAATGACTTCGCTCAGAAACGCAACCAAATTGGGATGGGGACAGCAACATTGCAGGACATAGAGGCTTTCCCAGAATCCTATGATGGCTTTCCTTCCATATCTCAGAATGTGCTCTAGCAAGATCTCAGCAGATACCGAAGCTCCGAGATAGTTCTATGGTAGTAAAAAGATTATTAACAATATATACAAGGGAAGAGAAAGATAGATAGAGCTAGATAGATAGATAGATAGATAGACAGATAGATAGATAGATAGATAGATAGATAGATAGATAGATAGATAGATAGATAGATAGACACTATATGGCTAAAGGTTTTTGGACACCTGACCATCACACCCATATAAACTTGCTGGACATCCCTTTCCAAAACCATTGGCATTAATATAAAGCTGCCCTCCCCCGTGTGTGGCTGCAACAACTTCCACTGTCATGGGAAAGCTTTCCACAAGATTTTAGAGGATGTCTGGCGAAATGCGTACCCATTAAGCCTTTGTGAGGTCACGTTCTGATATTGGATGAGAAGACCTGATTCAGAATCGGCATTCCTACTCATTCCAAAGGTGTTCAGTAGGGTTGAGGTCAGGACTCTGCGCAGGACACTTGAATTCCTCCCCATGAAACTAGTCAAACCATGTCTTTATAGAGCTGGCTTTGTACACTGGGGACAGTCATGGTGGAACAGAAAAGAGCCTTCAAACCATGTGTTTATGAACCTGGCTTTGCACATAAGAGACAGTCATGGTGGAACAGAAAAGGGCCTTCAAACCATGTCTTTATGATGCGGGCTTTGTACTCAAGGGACAGTCATGGTGGAACAGAAAATGGTCTTCAAAACCATGTCTTTATGGAGCTGGCTTTGTACTCAGGGGATAGTCATTGTGGAACAAAAAGGAGTCTTCAAACCATGTCCTTATGGAGCTGGCTTTGTACTCAAGGGATAGTCATGGTGGAACAGAAAAGGGCCTTCAAACCATGTCTTTATGGAGCTGGCTTTGTACTCAAGAGACAGTCATGGTGGAACAGAAAATGGTCTTCACCAAACTGTTACCACAAAGTCTAATATGCCTTTGTATGCTGTTGCGTTACCAGTACCCTTCCCTGGAAACAACTGATCTCAATCATTATGAGGGGGTCCTTTTGGGCATGTTGGTAGCCCTGATCGTCAGGTGTACACAAACCTTCGGCCATGTAGTGCAACTAAAATGAATAAAATAACCTTTCATTACCTCCAGCTCGGGAACATTATGGCATTTCAGCTCACTCAAAAGTCTGTGGGTGTCCAAAGATTCCACAATATAGATCAGATCATCCCGGAAATACTCGAATATCATACACAGTTCACGATCCTTATACATAGAAAGCTGCTGTCGGAACATCTGGATTTCATCTGCAAAATAATGTATTTTCACAATACTGTGAGTATTTTCTTATAGCCTTCTACGGTGCACTGTGTGTAATTGATGAAACTGTGACACACGTCACCACTCTTACATCGCAACCCTCATCTCTTGATGATTGAGCTGGGGATGGCTCGGAGACACCCTCTTGGAGGGTCCACAAAAAGCTGCTGCTATTGGCAGTTGGGGCCTCTCGTTTTACCACCGAATCTGCTAAGGTTACCGGAATTATGAGAGAGCGGATGAATCGGATCGGATTTATTCTGTAGG